TGGTGGGGACAATGGAAAGACCAGAATATGCTTTAGCCAAGAATAAAGTATGTGAGAGGCCAAAATGTGGTTGTGGGGGTGAGTTCCAAAAGAAGTGTGAGCTTTCTGTAAGTGTCTCAGAGATCTCCTGCATAGCTAGACAGCCCTTCCAGAATCCTTAAAGACACGGGATTATCAATGCTTATACCAGTCAAGAAAATAATTTGTATGTCAGGGATGTTCCCTATGAGATCCCTACACGACCTAAAAATGGGTCCCAAATAGCTCCAAATGAGGGAAGTGGTGTCCCTTGTCTTCAAAAAGATATGTTTTCTATCCTAAACTGGGAGTGCCAGCATTCAAAAAAAAAAAATAAAAAAGGAATGGAAGAAAATGATCTAGAGCCCAGAGGAGTTAATTGCTTGTCATCTTGGAAGGAGAAGGAAGTTCCTGGGTTTTGGCACCAAATGTTAGTCTATCTGGAGGAGGCTAGTTAAAGACAGAGGATAACGTCTTTAGAAGAAGAGAGAAAGAGTGTCAGAAGAGAAGAATGGGTCTCATTCTCAAGATGAGAGGAGATGTCATTCTCTTCTGGAGCCTTCAGTTAAATGCCTTGACATCTGCTAATCCTGCTCAGACACCTGCACCTCCTGCAGTGGTGAGCTTTTTGGTCAACTTCATTGACCCTTATCAAGTGGGTTGACTGTTGGTATGCACACATTGGTTCTGTAAACTGCTGTTTAGTTTCATTTCCTGGTTCTCTACACTGTCCTCACTCTCATCTTTTGTTTTTCTCTGACCACTATCACTTCTGAAATGAAATCATGAGTGCAAATCTTTTCGTTGAATGTGCTGTTTTAATCTGTCTGATTATCCTAGTTAACAGAAACAATGCCATGGTTGTAAAACTGTATGGCCATCAGAACTAGAAACCAGAAATAGAACTTATCAGTGGAGGTGAGAAGAGGTCAACACTTAATGTACTCCTGAAACATCAAAGCAGTGCATGAGAGAAGCAAGAGTTAAACTCTGTACATGAAAGCCCCTTTCCTCTACCTTTAGTAGATGTCTTCTGATTCGAAACATCCAGCCATGATGATTTAGAAACAAAATAAGATAAATAAAAATATGAATTGTTTTCAAGACTGTTAGGAACCCCTTGCAATGTTTCTAACCATGGACTCACAGCAACCTCGTGGACAACAGACCAGATTGCTTAATCCTGCACCTTCTTCTAACTCCTGCTGGCTTTTGGATCACAATGTCAATCTACAAAATTAAGGATCTTCTTTTTTACCAAATATGACATCTATCTCCAGGGCCTGACCCTACCAGATAACTTTCCAAAGTATGTGAGCTAAAGTCTTGCCCTCCTTACTTAAAAGAATCATTCTGATTTGAAGTACAATTCAGAATGGAAGACATGGCCGGAAGGGCCAGGCTGAGTAATTCATTACACCACACTAGGCTTGTTTTGAACTCTGCCTTCCTGTGTGTCTATCTTTATCTTTTTTTTAGAAGGATGCCAGCCATATTGAGTTAGTTCTTGTCCTATTCCAGTGTGATCTGTTAATTGCACTAATTACAAAGATCATATTTACAAAGAGATGACAGTAGTCTGGGATAATGTCATGGTATCTTTTCTTTTTATCAAGATTTAGAGGAAGTTTACAAAAGCAATTTCGTTTCCAATGAGCAGTTCGAACTCTTTGATTCCTGACATTGGCTACAATCTTTACTACATTATAACATATAAGAATGACAGCACTCCTGTGATGCTATTCCACATATAACCTTTCTATTCATGCATCTTTCTTATCCCTTCCTGCCTGCTAAGCTTTGTCCCTAGACATGTCATTCCCTGGGATGTTACAGGGTGATGGTTCCAGAGAGTGTACTTCTCTGGGCTTATCATTCACTTTATGAGGCTGTGTAGTGTTTGGCTGAAGTTTGAGTAATAGAAATTACTTAATGGAACGAAGAGGTACTAAACTCTATTGACTTAGGGGTCCCAACAGTTTCTATCAGGACAATAGGTATGGTCATTTAAAAAGTTAGTTGAGTTCCAAATTTTTTCTCCTACACTTCTTGAACTTCACATTTTGATGCCTTACAGAGCAGTTGACTGTTCACATTTCTGTTACCTCTGAGTGTCAGGAGCCTGGCTAACTTGTAAAGCAAGATTAGCACTGCATTATAAAACCAGCAGGACTGATTCCACCTTGGTTAGAATATCTGCTTGGCAGTAAACAACTCAAGGAAGCAGGATGCTAATGAATAGTGAGTGACCAAAGGTCTCAGACTTCTGAGGAATGTGATGCTCTTAATCCTCTCTTTGTTCTTCTAAGCACACAGTAAGGTATTCTGGAAGATATCTTGAGGTCTGGGAGAGTTAATGTTTGACCTGACAGTCAACATCTTGGACAGATAAGAGATAGTGCCATTACCCTTGCAGGCATGCTTCTAAAACCCAGATGGGCCTTTTCCAGAATAATAAAATTGCTATTTGTCATCAGCGGACAGTCTCTCTGCATCTACATTTCATCCTCGTCCCTTCTCTTGGCGGAATTGTTCGATGTAAAGGGTCTGGACCTCATTATCTGAGGGCTTCACCAGAGCTTCACCAGAGTTCCTTACTTAGTGCACACACTCTCCTAACATACTTGAGTTGTTTCCCCACTATATTTTGTGTGCACTGGACTGAGCACATGCTCTGAATCAACCACAAGTGCATCCTTTCCAGATCTGAGATACCATACAATTGTTGCTTTTGTACAAATGAGATTATTTCAATAGTTTAGGTGACTCTCACAGAGACACTATGATCTAGGGGGAAAATGGGTGGAGTCCCAAGAAACAATATGATTTCCATTTCCTTTGGGGGTCCAAGATGGTTTTGAGGTTGACTGAGATTCTTTAAGTGCGTGTCCATGGAGGCAGTTCCATTTAGTGTGGGAGCACCTCAGGTCTTCTCTATGGACACTAGTATCCACTCATGATTCTGGACTAATGAAGAAAAACACCATGGATCCATGGGGAGGGCTCTTCTGGTTGGGAAGAAGATGGTGGTGTTGTCTGTTGTCTGAAGGCCTCAGGGGTCCACCTTCATGTATGTCACCTTCTAGGAGTGTCATCAGGTGGAGAAGCCTACAGTGGAAGGACAGTGAGTGCACAGAGTTGGGGTGGGACATCACCCATTGCCTTCACGTTGAATGTCAGTCATATTGAATTGGCCCACAGAATTTTCAAAGTAGCAAACCTTTATGGAGTCATATTGTCACAGTCTCCCCAGTAGGGGTTGGTGAATTTAATCCACTAGCTTTTTGGTTAGAAGTTCTTAAGCTTGTTTACAACCTTGGACCCTATGGGGCGGTTCTCTGCTGTCCTCACGTGTCTCTGTGTGTCAAGATTGACCCAGAGACTCACATCCATAGACTTGTACAGTGGCAGTGAGATCTGAACAAATAGTTCCACGGTTAGGTGAAGAGATAGTGGCAAGGTTTGAGGAGGACTGGGAGGACAGTGGGTCATCACAGTAGCCCTGAAAACAGAGAACTTCATGACACCAATGATGTGGCATTGCTGAGAGGTGGACAAGTGTCCATTAGGTTGAGTTGATGGACAAGCACATTTTTGAGGCATTGTCACAAGAGAAATGTTACCCAACTGTCCAGCTCCACTTCTTCCTCAGGCTCTTTGTTGCTCAGGCAGCATCTGGAGGGGAAAAAAGGATGTGCTCTTGTGTCTTGGTAAGATTCTCCAAGACCTCCTCCTCCTCCCCTACTCAATTGGGAGGTTGAGGCTCAGAGATGGTCAGTGATGCAGCTGGTGCCACACAGTATCAATCCATGCTGTCTCACACCCAGGTCCAGGACCATTTCCCACCACCTTTCCTCCACCTAACTTCCCATGGATGTTCTGGGGCCCCAGACTTCTTCATTCTGCATAGCCTCATCTCTCTAAGCTTGCTTAAATTTCTTCTTGGACTTTTGTAGCTGGGTTGGAACTAGGATGAAGAGAAAAGTATCAGACTGGGAGGAAGGACCTGTGGATGATGGTGGGAAGCTTGGGGATTTTGTGGGCATCTCACCTGCTGGACTGGCCTCTATCCTTGCTCTGTGACACTGCAGCCTCTGACAGAAGTTGAAAATCGAACTCCTGTCCACCCTAGCCCCCTTCCTCACAGCTACTTTCAGATCTACAGTGGATGAAAGATTCAGGAAAATGGCAAGCACTTCTTTAAGAAGATGTAAGAAGGCCTTTCTAAACCCTCAAAGACAGCATGTATGTTTAAGGAGCAGGCTTGAACAGCTGAGGGTCCTTTAAAGTATTTACATGTTTCTCTCCATTTTTCCATTCTTCTAATTTTGTCTGGTGAAAATATACACAGCAAAAGTGATTCCCCTCAAACACAGCAAAAGTGATTCCCCTCCAAATTTTGTGGCCAGAATGTTCAGTGATATTGGAAACACTCTTCAGATTGTGTCAATATTCTCCACATTTCTGTTGAAGCTGTTTCATTTACATTGATTTACTCTTGCTGACCACCAATATTCTCATCTAGACTTTAAAATCATTGCCAACCTTTGAGTATTACATTCAACTTTTTGTTTGATCAGGTAATGCTGTGGTCCAAGGAAAATCCTTTCTTTTTTGGGCTCAACAGTTACTTCGCTTACAAGTAACTTTAGTTTCAATTCAGTGTCTCAAGAAATAGCTCAGATCTGTGCTCCTGGCTGGGCCCTGAGCCTCAGCGGGTTCTCAGTCTGGATTTGGAGGAAAGTAAAGTTCCATTGCACACTATTCTCCTTCTTTTATCAGAATTCCTCTGGTTTTGTTGCTGGTTGTATAGTCACTATTGAAGTAATCTTTCTAGATTTTGGGTTGTGACGTGATGGAGGTATTTCTCCTCTTGCAACCCCCCTCAGCTCTACGCTCCTTGACTGTCCCCACGTTCACCCTTGTTCTGCCCACAGGACCCCTGGACCTTGTGTGGTCACATTGTCCTGTTCTCACTCTCATCACTTACTGTGTTTCCTCTGGTGTTTGTGTTGGATGAAGAGAAGGAGCAGAAGAATCAAGAAAAGGAGGAGGACGTGGACCCCCAAGTCCCCGAGCAGCACTTTCAGGTACGTGGGGAGACCTGGGGTGTGAGCAATAAGAGGAAGGTCAGTGTCTAGCTTGTGCTGGGGCTTTTGTGTTCATCACTTCGATCCTCAGAACAGCCAGCCCAGAGGCTCCCAGGTCCACGTCACCCCTTCACAGAGGAGCAGACAGCCTTAGAAAGGGGTGTCCTCTGTCACGTGTCACCCCACTGGAAGGTGCTGTGTCAGGATCAGGAGCTTCTAAATCTATCTTTCATTTCTAAAATGCTTCTCGGGGTGTGTGATCTGGAGGAAATTGCCCTGTCAACCCGAAGTTGGCACTTCTCCGGGTGTTCGAAACCAGGCTGGTCTCTGCAGGAGGAAGATGATGCCTCTCTTCCTGTGTGGTTTGCAGGTGCAGCAAACCCGCTGGCAGGCAGCTGGGTGCCTTTCTGACTTGACAATGAGAAATCCCTCTTCCTCTCCCTCCCCTCCGACAGACCATCAGGAGAGAAGCCTGCCTCTATGCCCCAGTCCCCACCCATCCATCAGCCCAACTGCTCTCTCCGTAAATCTGACACCCCACAGGACACATCTGACATAGGGGTCTGGGAGAAGGATTGAGGTGGAGAGAGGTCAAGACACTCGCTGGTCCAGGCTCCAGGCTCCAGGCCTAGCACTTGGATTGACATGATTTTTCTGTGTGTAAGGGCACTGATCTCTCAGAGGGAAACAGTGGGAGGGGTGAAATGAAACTGAAACTCAAAAGAGGAAGTTGGCCTTCCAGAGGTCCCACAGCCAGGAGGTGGAGGTGGTACAGCATCTGCATGGAGCCCAGGGGTGGGGTGCGGGTGGGGACGGACAGACACTTAGCGGACAGACACTTAGCAGCTCCGTGGAATTTGTTTCTGGGAGGGCAAGGATCCCTCAGATTGTGGAAGAACACGGTTGTGCTGCCGTGGCCCAGCCCTCCCCAATGATGCCACAGCTGGGTGTCTTGCCATTTACCAGAGACAGTGTGCACTTCAGGGAGAAAAAGGAATGGACACCCTCATCACCACCCCAAGTTCAAGTCCTCTCCCCACCTCCCTCAGGGGAGTCCGTGGCCTACCTGGGAGCGTTTTGGATCTCAGGACTGTGGGGACCTGGTCCTCAGAGATTCCTGGGAGTAGGGCAGAGTGAGAGGTTCAGCCCACTGCTCCTGCTCCCCTGCTGTGACCACCCCTTGCTCATCAAGTAGCACCCCAGAACCCCTCAGAGCCTGGGCTCCCCACCCTGATATCTGCTTGTCCCCTGGCTCCCTGACACAGCTGTGCAGCACAGCAGGATGGAATAATGTCACAGCTGATGTGACACCAAATATCAAATAAAGCCGGGGCAGTCATGGGGCACAGGATCCTGAGAGGACCTGGGGGTGTGGAGTCTCCATGTGAGGACAGGGTAACAGAATGTTTGAAGAGTCAGTGAAAATCAAAGGTGGGGCTCCTCTGGGCTCCCCTTGGCCAGTGTGGATTTTCTCAGCCTCCCTCCCCCACCAGACACATCTTGGGACCTTGGGGGATGAAAACTCAGAGTGAGGCAGCAGGGGCACTTGTCCTGTCCTTTCATCTCCCAACTGCCTGTCCACTGGCCCATGAGAGGAGGGTCTCCCCTGGGTGAACCCTCCTGCAGCCGCTCTAGCCTGGTCCCCTCCTGGGCTCAGGGCTCTGAACTGGCTATGAGGACACAGTGGGCCAGGGCCAGGGTTCCTCACCTGTGACCACCAGCAGGTCACTGGGGTGTGACAGCAGGTAGGGGGAGGTGCTATGTGAACTGTAGCACCTGTAGGTCCCCGTGTGGGCTGAGGTCACAGGGCTCAGGGTGAAGTTGACCTGGAGGGACCCACCACTGTTCTGCTCATGGTGATGCTGGAGAGGTCGAGTGTGTCCCTCCTTAAACAGATGGAAAGTGTCCATCGGGCCTTCCGAGCGACACTGCAGGGTCATGATCTCTCCTGAAGTCATTGTGGGGCTTGGACGAGCTAAGAGCGAGGGCTTCTCAAAATATCCTGTGAGAAAAGAAGGAGCTGGCGTGTGAGGAGCTGTCTCTCCCCAGCCCTTGTCCCCTCTCTAGGTCAGCTCCCCATGGACCTTCTGTCTGTAACCCCTCATTCACCTCTCAGTATTCAGTGGGGTCTCCCTCATCTCCAGCCCTCTTAGCTTCTCATTCCCATACACTCCTCAGCTCTGCTGCAGGACTTTGTCCCCCTAAGCCTTTCTTCATTAGGGGGGCCTTGGATCCCAAGCTGAGTAGATCATCTGGATGAGGGGCTCCACACCTGCCACCAGGACGTCCAGCGGGTCACTGGGCGCTGACCACAGGTAGCGGTCATGGCCGCTGTAGTAGCACCTGTACTGGCCAGCAGTGCTCCTGTCCACAGGGCCCAGGGTGAAGTTGGGACTCTGCTGGCTTCTGAGAATGTATGGAAGGAGCGGAGGAGGCTCGTCCCTGGTCAGAGCGAAGCTGTGGAACCCAGTCTCAGAGCCACACGTCAGTGTCAGACTGTCTCCAATCAGCACCGGTGGGTCTGGCTGGGCTGACAGGGAGGGCTTGGCATACAGGCCTGGGGAGGGGGAGAAGGAGATGGGCATCAAAGGTGCAGACTGCACTGAGTTCTCACTGGCTTTCACACTGCTCTCTGAGAATCCACCCCGGCAGGTCACTGTCACCAATCACCCCATCCCCACAGGGCTCCCCTGAGGCTTTGATCTGACATTTTAGGGCTCCTGGAAAGAAGGGAGGCTGGTTGGGGCTCCCTCACTTGTGACCTGGAGATCCAAGGGGTCACTGGGACTTAGCCACACGCGGATGGAGGAGACATGGGAACCGTAGCATCTGTAGGTGCCTCCCTGGGAGCTGTTCACGGGGCCCAGAGGAAAGAGGGCCTCGAACCAGTCTGCAGAATGGTTAGGTTTCATTTTCCAGGGAGGGTCAGTTCCCCCCTCCTTCAGCAGATAGAGCGTGTCCACTGTGTGTTGTGATCCGCACCGGAGAGATACATGTCCTCCTGAAGCCACCACAGAGCTTGGAAGGGCTGAGAGAGAGGTCTGTGCAACTGTGTACACTCCTGAGAGAAAGAGGGGGCTGATTTTAGGGCAAATAAAGGCACCTCACAGGTGTGGCTGCCTAGGAAGTGTGAGGGTCCCACTTCCTGTGAGGAGGAGCCCGCCCGGGAGGGAAGTCTCAATCTCTCATTCTTACCTGTCACAGTGAGGAACAGGGGGTCACTCAGCTCTGAGGGGCCACCAGAGCTGTGATGTGCACACTGGTACTGGCCAGCGTCGTGTGTGTCCACAAAGGGGATGCTGACGTGACCTCTTGCGTCCCTGGGATTACGTAGGGTCATAATCCTAAGAAATGACCCTTCTTTATACAGTCTGTAGCCTTCCGTCTGCTGAGACCCCTGACACCAGATGGTCACACGTGTCCCCATGTTGATGGTGGGCCCTGGGTCAGCCCAGATGGAGGGTTTGGAAAGGGTCCCTGGGAAGAAATCAGACCTGGAATCCACGGGGGTTCTCAGTCCCAGTGTTCCCAGCTCTCATCGGAGGCCTCTCCCAGACTGCCACCCCCCCAGCCTAGACCCTCAGTACTTTCCTGAGCTTCCAGAAGCTTCCCTGTTGGACACCAGAGACTGGAGCTTGGGTGTTCTAGGGGAAGACTCACCCAGGTATTCCTGGTCCTGCTGGCCCCGACACAGTCCTGGAGAGAAAGCCTGTGAGAAGAATGTCCTTGCACCCCACACACAGTGACCACACGGTGGACAGGGCCCTGAGCACTCAGGTCAGGCCGTGGCTGAGAACACCCTTCCCCATGAAGGCCCAGCTTCCTCTGTGGGCTCTGGAGCCCCTGGGGTCCCCCACAGGACAGGGACTCTGTGTGTGAGGAGGGTGACCTCACCCCACCCCCTTCCATGGAGCTTACCAAGACACAGGACAGCAAGGGTCAGGGTTGTGCTGCTGTGCATGGTCCCCAAGGGCCGCAGATGAAGTCTAGTGACCACGGAGCCTGCAGGACAGATAGGCGCAGGGTTTGACCTGTCTTAGATCCTGCCCTGTGTGTCACGGGTTTCCTCATCAGCAGTCACACAGGAAGGGAACAGTCCCTCTCCGTGGTGGTTCTGCTCTTCCTGAATGTTGGGCTGAGGACAACAGCAGACTCTGTGGGACCTTTCAGACCAGATCCGAGTCCAGTCCTGAGTCTGCCTTGTACAGAGGTTGGACGAACTGGGACCTGTCACCTCCCTTTTCTGAGTCTCCCCAATGCTGTCTTGTTTTCTCCATCAGCTGATATTCTATATTTTTAATGATATAGTATACTGAACATTTATTGACTTAAAGTTAACAACCTGTAGAATGTTTTTTTGTTAATTTTCTTTTGCATTCTCTATGATAATTTTGCCTTTTTAAATTATAATGATACTGGGTTGTTTTTTTTTTTAAATGTCTTTTTTTATTTTATACCGGTCTATTTTCAAAGTTCGAATACATTGTTTTTCACACTGGATCTTTCCTATTTTCTTCATTCCCCCACCCATCAAATTGTAGGTCCCAACTCTATGATTAACCTCCACTTTTTCACCTGTCCTAACCCTTTTGCTTCCACTCCTCCCACTTAGATCTCCATACTTATTCTACAAGAATTGTGTGTAGGGGGTCTATAACTTTAAAAAAAAACTTTCTACTAGTTTATTTGCTATTTCCAGGCTGGGAAGATGAGTAGAATGGTTGGAATCTGGAAAGGTGTGTTTTCTGGTTTGGTGTTGAACTAGGGAGTGGCTGTTGCTACCAATAGGGTGTGAGATTATTTAATTTGGCCTCATATTTAAAATGTAGACTTGGAAGCAGGACTTCCAATAAAAGCTTGCCTCCAGACACTTTATGAACTTGGGGAAAAGATGAAAGTTTTGTGTTCAAGACTTTTGTTCATAGGGTCTCTAGCATCATCTACACTTAACAACAACAATAACAACAACAACAACAGATTCTCTACTTCAGTTCTCTGCTCCTTACTGTTTATTATTTGTATGGTTCTTATTATGGACATTTGAGTCACAATTCATTCTTAGCTGAACCTCCAGTAGATTCTCATAGAATAAAAATCACATATCAGGAGATTGCCCATCTTTTTCTAAGGAGTGACTGCTCAATTTGAATACTTAACTTTGTATTGACTGTATAACTTCATATCCATTAGACCACCAAAGATTCTTACTTATAAGAGAGTTAGAGATATCATTGGATCTACGGTGAATGAGTGCATATGGGTTTTTTCTTATATTTTTAAAAGTAATTTTTTTATATGTTATAAATCCTGATCTCTGCCAATAGCTAATGACTTCAAACCTTTGCAGTTATTGTTGTTGTTGTTGTGATTGCCTTTGATTTGAGAAAAACTCATAGCAACCCTATGAACAAAAGGCCTGAAGCCTCTCTACAACTATTGACATTTATCAGAGTTTATAGAATTTCTGGAGGCATAATATTTAGGACCTAGATACCATTCCTGCTTCCAATGGGGTTATTAGGTGATATTAAACATGTGGTAATGCCTTGCTTATTCAGGGCCTTTCCATTCCAAATGAATTGGAGTTGCCTTTCCCATCTCGTTGAAGAATAGAAGTGGTATTTGTATTGGGATTGCATTGAATGTGTAAATTGCTTTTGGTAGTATTGTAATTTTGAGAATATTGAGTCTTCCTATGCATGAGCAAGTCTTCCACTTCTCCAGGTCTCTCTTTGTTTCTTGCAGTAATGTTTTGTAATTTTCTTTGAATAGATCCTCTGCCCTTCTGGTTAGATTTACTTCCAAGTATTTAATCTTGTGATTAGCTATTGTGAAGGGTATTGTTTTTCTAAGATCCGGTTCTGTTTTCTCTTTGTCACTGTAGAGAAATCCAATTGATTTTTGCATGTTGATCTTGCATCCTGCCACTTTGCTTAATTGGTCAACGTTGTCCAATAGTTTTCTTGCTGAATCTTTAGGGTTTTCTAAGTATATTATCATTATTACATCATCTACATGCAGACATAATTTTACTTCCTCTTTGCCAATTTGGATACCTCTTATTTATTTCTCTAGTCTTATTTCTATCGTTAAGACTTCTAATACAATATTGAATAAGAGAGGTGATAGTTGGCATCTAAAAACTCTCCAACAGGGTAAAAAGGGAAGCCACAGATTAGGAAAAAATATTTGGTAATGACATGGCAAACAAGGGACTTACTTCTAGAATTTATGAAATACTTGAGCACCACAAGATAAAGATAAATAACCCAATTGAAAAATGGGCACAGGATATGAACAGACACTTCACGAAAGAAGACATTCAGATGGTAAACAAACACATGAAGAAATGTTCAAAATCCTTAGCTCTAAGAGTGATGCAAATTAAAACTACTATGAGATATCATCTCACCCCAGTAAGAATAGCAAAAGTTAACAGAACAGCAAACATCAAATTCTGGGGAGGTTGTGGAGAAACTGTTGGTGGGGTGTAAAATGGTGCAACCATTATGGAAGGCTGTACGGTGCTTTCTCAAAAAGTTGCAAATAGAAATTGCATTTGACCCAGCAATTCCATCACTGGGAATTTACACTAAGGAAACCATAACCGCCATCCAAGCAGATATGTGTACACCCATGTTTACTGTGGTTTTGTTCTCAATAGCAAAGATCTGGAAACGACCCAAGTGCCCCTCTCAAAATGGATAGAGAAGCTCTGGTATATTCACATAATGAAATACTATGCAGCCTTGAAAAACAAGAAACTCATGAAATATTATGCAAAATGGATGACCCTGGAGACATCATACTGAGTGAAATATCTCAGTCACCAAAGAGCAAATATTGCATAGTGTCACTGTTGTAAAACAGGACTGACATCGGGATTGAGGAAAGACAGAGAAGGAGGGGAGGAATAATGTATACTGCATTAAAACAGATGAGGGAGAGAACTGTTTAAAAGGGATATATGATTGGGTATTATTGTCATAACAGGAGTCCAGAATGAAGGCCGCACAGCGGAGTGGACTTGAGGAGAGGGATTGCATAACAACAGAAGAGTTTTTCTTTTACTTTTCAAGGAGAAGAGTGAATTGGGGGATGGGAGTGGGCTGGGAGAAAAGGGCAACAATGAATGACTAGAAAACCTAAATCTCTGTAAACTTTCTTTAAAATTAATAATAAAAAAATATGGTAAGGCTTGTCTCTGTCAGGCTGCTGTTTACTGTGAATTGGTTTTATGGGGAATGATGACTGCTCACATCTTGTTGATGGTCATTTATGGAAAGTTTGGAGTTCTTTTGGCTTTTTTTTGTCCCCAAGTGGGTGTCAGCAGATTGGATATGCCAGATAGATTGAGGGTCTCTCGCTCATAGTCTATCAACATTTGGGCATGATGGATTTTTAAAATGTGGTAGGGCCCAAGGGCCACAGGCCCAAGGGCCAAACGTTAATTGATTTTAGGATGAACATTTTTTAAGTCATACCTGAAAGGTCTTTCTATTTGCTCTACTGAAGTAACATGGAGTTACTCTGATGATGAACAACTGTGTCACAGGTGTGTCAAACACCATAATTGTCTCCCCATCATGAACAGTGCTTGGTGGAGCTCCCAGATTGATTCAGGTTTGGAAGAGGAGTGGCATCAACTTCCTAAACCACATGCCTCTGGAAACTCTTTGCACTTGGATTAATGACAAGAGTTATAGAAAGGCTTCAAGCCTATTGTTTCATCTTTTGTGTATCTGTCTCTCTCTCTCTCTCTCTCTCTCTCTCTCTCTCTCTCTCTCCATATCCATATCTCTATCATATCATCTATCTATCTATCTATCTATCTATCTAGCTAGCTAGCTAGCTAGCTATCATCTAGCTAGCTATCTAGCTATCTATGTAAGGCCTTTGTATGTAAACGTCAGTTAGGCCAGATGGTGTAGTGTTATTTCATCTTAGAGGAAGATCTTTCTAAGTTGTACAGCATTCTTTTGTCAATTTGCAGTACTGTGGTAATCTGGGTTTGCTGTGAATCTGAACCTTGTGCCATTGGAGGTGAAATGTCCTAACAGCTGCCCATGGTGGACAGTGTTTGGTGGAGCTACCAGTTTAAGACAGGTTAGAAGGGAGGAGTGGCATCAACTTCCTATACCACATGCCTCTGGAAACTCTGTGAACCTGAAGAAATGATGAAAGTTATATAAAGGCTTCAGGTCTTTTGCTCATAAGGTCACTGTGAGTTGTGCTCAACTCAATAGCAATCAGCAACAACTATGTAGTGAGTGTTTTACAAATTAAAGTGACACCATGTATGACAAACTAAACTGCCAGATCCTGTACCATCCTCACATTTACTACTGTGTTTGAGCCCACTTTTGTAATCACAATGTTGATCAATCTCTGGGAAAGTCTTCCTCTCTTTTGCCAACCCTCTACTTTGCCAACAATGATGCTTTTCTCCAGGAACTTAGTGCTCCTGTTGACGTGTTCAAAGCATGTGAGACTAAGCCTCATTATCCTTAGATGTAGTGATCATCAGCTTTATTTCAGACTGAGTCATTGTGTTGTAACTAACTCAGAGGCATCATCAACAGTAATTATAACCTAGCAGAAACCTTGCTATCCCCCTATTTGCTTCTTCTTTGTTTCCTTTCTCTACTTTTCCCTTTATTCCTTCTTCTTGAACTTCTCCCTCTCTTTCTTATCAATCTACACATGCATCCATCTATCTATACATTCCTCTATGTATCTGTGGACATCTCTTTTTATAGCTCATTGTATATTGATTTGTATTATTTATCTTTTTTACTTAAATTAATGAATCCTCATGGGTATTGTACAATTCCTATGTTGCATCACAAGGTTATGCTACTTTTTAAAATTTTCTTTATTTGTACATCATATATCTTACTATTTAACTGTTTTTAAACAGCTTCATAGGAAACCCGATTCTTAATATTTTGGTATATTTACTCATATGATCAATCAATCTATATCTAGACTATCAATCTTTCACATTACTTCAATTGCTTACCTTCAAAAACTTGTTATTGAATGTTCTTTTACCCTGCTTAAGGAGAAATGATGTCAGTTTGAAGACTAAGATGCACCTGATTCAGGCCAAGGTCTTCTCAATCACCTGCTACATAGTACAGAGCTGGACAATTAAGGGATGAGAGAAGAAAAATTGATGTCTTTGAACTGTGGTGTTGGAGAAGAGTACTGAATAACTCGTGGACTACCAAAAGAACAAACAAAAATTTATTGGAGAAAATATAGCTTTACTGCTCCTTGGAGGCAAAGATGATAAAGCTTCATCTCACATACTTTGGTCATGTTGCTAGGAGAAACTATTCCTTGTAAAGGTATATCATGATTAGAAAGGTAGAGGGATGACAAAATAGTGTAAGACCCTCAACCAGGTGGATTGACACAGTGATTGCAGCAATGGGCTCAGTGTGTCAGAAATTGTGAGGGTGACTTGGGATAGGAAAGGGTTCAGATATTTTGTGCTTAGGGTAGTTTAGGCCTACTCAATTGATGGCATCTAACAACCAAAACAGCCTTGCTTGAGGACCCTATTTGTTAAATATACTTTTCCCCCCTCTCTAGTTCTTATCTTCTGCTAAAATGCATGTTGCACAAAAGTTTCCTTTTCTGAAACATCCTTGTTAAAGTTCTTTTCTCTGCTTTTGGTCTGGACCATTGAGTTGGCATGAGTCTGTACAAGGGAAACCATCCTGACATCATTCTCACTCCATCATCTTTTCCTTCACCTAAGATTAATAGTTTCTTTGTTCTATTTGTGCTCCAGTGACCACACAAGGAGGTAAATCTTCATGACAACAGTGGAACCTTGTGAAGTCACCACAAGGACTGTGGGATATTGTAACATGACCATCACACAGTGTTTATCATCCATTTTGACTGATTCTCAATGGCATCCCATTCTATGTGGACTCCTCCTTCACCATGTGTGTCCATGGGCATATCACACACTATGGACATTTCACCTATCTTTACAGTGGATGACCTTTGTTTGCCTTACTCAATGGTTTTAGAACTATGTTTTTAGAAAACTGAGGAAAAAATATTTCAGTTGGGTCCTTTGAGAGCATGTGCTGAAATTAGATTATGATAAAATGTTTATTGTAACTAACACATGAGAATGAAGCAGTACAGAAGTAGAATTAAGTTAGGAGAATATTGTGATACAGATCACAATGCAAACATGTCAAAACTTCTGCAATATTGTTGGTGATATCTGAAGTATGAGTTCTTCTTAATAGTAGTCCTGACTTGAGTCTGACCCTTGGAGAAACTATTCCCTGGAAAGGTACATCGTGATTAGAAAGGTAGAGGGATGACAAAGTAGTGTAAGACCCTCAGCCAGGTGGACTGACACAATGATTGCAGCAATGGGCTCAGTGTGTCAGAAATTGTAAAGGTGACTCAGAATATGACAGGGTTCAGATCTGTTATTCTTAGAGTTGATTTGTGTCCTACTCAACCTGATGTACTATCTTGTGTTGTGCTCCCACTTCATGACACACAATTCTGCCCAATGTGGCAGTCACTGTGTCAATCCACCCTGTTGAGGGTTTTCCTCTCCTTCGCCAACCATCCATCCTTCCCAGCATCATCTCTCTCTTCAAGGAATAGCTCCTCTTAGTGACATGTGAAAAGTATGAGAAGAATATGTACTTAACTCACACACTGATCAGAACTAAAAGGTTAAATAAGTGGAGAGTGTCAGCTAAGCCCAATATTCCTATGTTCTTTCTTAAATGAGAATCTGAGAGGCATATATTTCTCCACATATTGAAAGGCAACTAAGAGAAAATAACGGGAAAGGTTCTCCGCTTATTTTAAATAAGTCCTAAAATGATATCAGCATAAGCACACAGATACATATTGAATGACTAAATATTAGGACTGTCAAAAGTTCAATATCCAGATTTTCAGTCCTAAATCAACATTGTCTATCAAATCACTTTTACTGGTCAGAAAAAAAATGTAGATATCAGCCCTCATCTCATAAATCTAGAACTGGGTCCATTCATCATTTAAATGTATCTCCCCAACATATGTGTCAGCCTATCCAGGCTATGCTTCTAAGTGGTCTTGCAGATATCCAATGATGTGATGTAGAAGTTATATAATTATGTAATTGTATATATAATATGTAATTATAAAGTTATGTAATTATGTATTCTCATGATAAGAATTGTTAGAACATTATAGTTCCCATGATTTAATGTGATATAAGCTGCCAATCAGTTTAAATGGCGTCTCCGTAGAGGCCCAGCCTGGAAAGAATATATAACTTTACCCAAAATCTTGTTTCTTTATCTAATTCTCGCCATTTGAATTCTGACTCTTGGGACTTGAACTAATGGCATGGCATAACATCTGCTAATCCTTAGATTCATTCACTTCTGTAGCTTGAGAACTAATATCCTCTGTTTTCCTGTTATGTTGTTATGTACCATAGAGTTGGAACAGGACCACAGCTGAACGAACCTCTAGCAGGTTTTCAGAGGCAGTTGACGGAATGGGAGGAGATCGCCCTCCTTCTTCCACAGAGCAACTGGTGGCCTCCAACAGTGTGCCCTCAGGATTCCAGCACAACTTCTTGCCAGTAGGTTACCAGAACACCCTGCGTTTTCTCCTACCTGTCTTTAATTTTTCAGCTTACATAGGCTTACTGCCTAATATGACACTCTTGACTTTGAAAGTTTCTGTAACTACGAGAATGTATTTTGACAGAATCACCCTGAAAGGGAACAGACTCAGTAGTGATATTCCAAGTTCAGTGCAAATCTTCTATTAACAGAATGTGGAAATTTATTAAACAGCATCATTAGTATCACATATAAGCAAAATATTGCTGAAAACATGGCTTGAACAAGTGCATTTACAGAAAATTGTCAGAAATTCAGGCTTGATTCAAAAGAATCCATGACACCGGAGATATCACTGATGATGTGATATAGATCTTGGCTGAAAGCAGAAAATATCAAAAGAATATCTATTTGTGTTTTATTGACTAGGCAAAGGTGTTTGACTTTGTGGTTAACATCAAGTAGGATAGAAATGCCCGAACACTTAACTCTCCTTACGTGAAATTTATACCTTGAAAAAGATGATGTTGTTTTAGCCAAATAGAACAAGGAAATTCTGCATGGTTTGAAATCAGAAGAAGTGTGCATCAGGACTGTATCTTTACACACACATACACACACACACACACACACATACATATACGTATATGTGTATGTATTTATG